TGAGATATATTGAAATATTTTACTTCACTGATTAAATAATCAGAAAAAGATTGAGATCTCAGGATCTCAGAATTCAATTGAGAAATTTATTAACAGCTAAATAAAAGTCAAAACTTCATCAAGATTCACTTTATCTTTTAAGTCAAAAAACATATTTGTAAATATAATTGCAAAGGTTATTGCAGAAAATGTTAAAATGCATTTTAACATTTTCTGTTATTAAAAAGATTATTGCAGAATATGTTAAAAACCATTTGTATTACGTCACTGAAAATTTGATCACAGAAAAAAAAAACATTAAAAAGTTTATTGTTGTTCAATATAGCTTCCTCTGGAATCTACTACACTCTTCAGATGCACAGGCACTGGGTTGCAGCTTTGTCGCACCATGTCCGACAGATTCTTCTGTATCTTTGTTACTTCTGCTTTGAGAGTTGCTAAATTTAGATATGTTTTGAGGGCTTTCTTTGACTCTGTGAAGCCCCAAAAAGCAATGTCCATGGGATTTATATCTAGGCTAGAAAGGGGCAACAAGTCCAGCGACCACAAGTGAAAAATATTCTCTTGAAGAAAGGCCATGGTTTTCATTACCAAACTTCTTCAAGGCAACAAGTTAGCTTTTATAAAGTCAACATAAGTTGTTTGGTTCACCTTGATACCTTCGGGAACAAAGACAAGTGGAGTTTTGGAGTTATCTGAACAAACACCACCTCATACTATTACTCCTATAAGGTGCTGTCTTCTTGGCATAGTCATAATTTTAAATCTAAGTCTACATGGATGTTTTGTTGTAGTTTTCTCTTTGACACACAAGCCTCTTTAGCAAAGCTAGATATTGATCGATTTGGATTTTGTTGCACTTTGCTGTCAACAGAATTTCGAAGTTCTTTAGTTCTTAGACATTTTCTTGGGCCTGTCTGCTTAACTTTACCATTTCCACCTTTTTCTAGATCTTTAATGAGTCAGTAAACATTTGAATTATAAAGCTGTCCTTTCACTGCTTTGCAAATTTTGCTTTAATTTACACCTGCCTTCCAGAGTGAAAAATCAATTGTTTTTTTCTAAGCGATTTATTTGACTCATTTTTTTTAAATAATTTATAAAAACGCCAATATTTTTTATTATTACCCAGTTATGCAGTCATTGGTTTTACGACCAAATTTGTTTTTCCTAAATTTGCAGACATTGAGCTGGAAATTCAAATTGTTATTTTTTTCTGCAATAATCTGCGCACCCTTGTGTAATTAATAAGTTGCATCTTTACAACATGGTACTTTAAAGTACAACTTTATAAACAACTAATCAAAGATTTTGCATCTCTTGTTCCACCCTATATTTTGTCACTTGTCATTCAGATTGGTCCCACCTGCAAGTGTTTCTTCATGATATAAAAACTTTGATTGATCAAGTTTTTTTCTTTAAATTTTAGGATTTTCTTCCGTCTTGGTAATTTCTTATCTTTAGCAATTTATACTTTTTCTCAGTCTTCTTCAAATTTGTGTATTTTTTGTGACAAAGTATTTTATTAGTTTTTTAAGCTTTAAGGTATTCAATATATCTATTGTTAAGTACCATTGTTTTGTTAAATAAATAACCTTCTCAGTCTGTTAAACAAAACATTGAAAACAATTTGGTATTAAAAATAATGCAATTGTTTTTAATCAAAAGGTATGGGTAATTTGATAAATTGTTTTATGGGGGTCCTGAAACTCTTTACTAGAGCTCCACTGTAAGCATTCTTAAAAACCATATATATATATGTATATATATATATATATATATATATATATATATATATATATATATATATATATATATATATATATATATATATATATATGTATGTATATATATATATGTATATATATATATATATATATATATATATATATATATATATATATATATATTTGGTGCACCATTTTAACAAATATATAATTTAAACAATTTAACCTTTACTCTGGATGATCATAAATGAAAGCGCCTAATTAGCATATTCGGATAATATAGGATGAAAAATAGGATGCTCATTAGGAAAAATATACTGCCTGGTTTTTTAAAATGCAATTTAACAATTTGAATGATTTGAACGATTTTAAATGTGTTAAATGGGTTCTAGTAATGAATTAGTCCTTTGATAAAAAATCTTTTTTTATTTTTCTGAAATTCTTTTGAGAGGCTTTTATTGATTTCAATAAAAACCTTTAAAAATATAATTTAATTTTGTAATTATAAATTTTATCTACAAATATTTAATCAATGATTGAACATGTTAAAAAATATTTATAAAGCAAAAACTTTTTTTTTAATATAAAATTTTCATTTTTTTCATATTTTTATGTTTGTTATTAAATAATTTTTTTAAGAAAATTAAAAGTTCTTGAAAACCAGTTGTGGAAACCTGATAAAGACTTGGTTTTGAAACCTGTTGAAAATGTGAATGCTAGTGATAACAATAAGGCAAATAAAATTTGTCAAAGTTTTGGATTTCCAATGCCTCCATGCTCACCAGATAAAAAAATAATTTGTTTCTTTAAAAATGAAGTACTGCATTATCAAGAATGTTCGAATTTGACAAGTAAATGCAATTGCAAAGGTAATTTTTTTTTTTTAACTAAATTTTGAAACTTTTTCGGAACAGTACTTTATAATTGCTAAGAACGTAGTCTCAATTTAACTTTACCAAGTTTAATAATCTAAAGGAGCAAGAATTAATTTAATGTAGATGAATAAAAATTTTTGTTTTTATTCATCTACATTAAATTAGTTCTTAAAAATAAGGCGGGAGAGCATTTTAAATAGTAGGAAACTTTTACGAGGAGAAAATCTCTCCTTCAAAATTTTAAATTTTAATTTCAAAATTTCTCCTTCAAAGTTTTTTTATTTATAAATATATTTTTTATATATATATATATATATATATATATATATATATATATATATATATATATATATATATATATATATATATATATATATATATATATATATATATATATATATATATATATATATATATATGTATATGTATAACACTTATATATAATAATCTATTTTAGAGACTTTAAGTGAAATAAGACTTTTCTCTAATTTCAATTTTTTTTCAATTTAAAAAAATTGAAGTAAAATATTAGCAAGTCTTTTCAAAGTTTTGATTTCACCAAAGTAATCTACCTTTAGCTCTAGATCTGTAATCATTCTAAATCTTAGTTGATTTTTAAAAAACTTGATTAAATAGCATAGCCTATGTTTTTAACTACAAAAAAATTTTTATAATTACAAACGTTAATTTAACAAACTCTTTTTATACGGAGTTGCCATTATTGAAGCTTTGAAGTTTTAAGTAAAAAATATTTTCAGATTCTTTTACAGTTTTTATCACGATTTTGATAAAAACTGGAAAAAAAAATTTTTTTAAGCTATACAAGTAATATATGTTTTTTTCAATATTGGCATAAAGTTAGGTATATGCATATATGATCCAAATAGCTTTGCATCTTTTTTAAGTTGATATAAAAAATCTCATGTTTACAATAATGATCCAGTTTAAAATTTTTGTTTTAATTTTTTGATTGTTAAGAATGGGAATGGTTAAAATTACTTTTGACCATTTCCCATTCTTAGAAAAGAATTTTTTTTGCATCCAGTCAAAATAATTTGAGATTCTTTTAAAGTGAAATGAAAGCATCTCATTATCTTTCTTTCTTTAGATTTCTTCTGCTTTTTTATTTGTTCCTCATTTTAAATTGATACTATAACAACACAATATATAGCAAACAAGTCATTAAAAGGTTATTTAAAAGCTAAGAACTTTTTTTGAGAATTTTTTTTTTTAATCAATTAAAAATATTCAAGATTTAACTAATGAAGTTCTGTTATGATATGAACTCATTAATAATCATTTTATAAATTACAAAAAATAAATCATTGTAAAATAAAACCTTTTTTGTCAGATTTTGCAAGTCATGAAGTCACTTTAAAAAATTGTTAAATTATAAATCAGCGTTTTAGAATTATCCCACAAGATCTGAATAACAAACAAGCATGTCACCCGCACATAATCAAATGAAATCCAAAATTTACAAAGAATGGCCTAAATTGCTTATGTATTAGTTTCAGGCTCTTTTATTTTTGCCACTCCTGTGGGTCAGTCATTATGCTTCTGATATTTATGTTCTTTGAATATGTATAAATACTTTTTTTGGGTGTTTTATGCAATTTTCGATTGCAAGTTTTTTTTAAATTTTAGTCATTTCAAACATGTTTCTTTTTTGTGATTTTAATAATTCAATTATTTTGTAAATAAGTTATAAAAAAAGTGAGCACAACCTTTCTTCCAGAACCTGCAATCACCTTGAATATAAATTGAAATGTCGAAAAGTTTCAATTAAGTATATACATTAGATGTTTTAGTACATACATTGGAGGTTTTAGTACATACATTAGAGGTTTTATTACATACATTGGAGGTTTTAGTACATACATTGGAGGTTTTAGTACATACATTGGAGGTTTTTGTACTTACATTGGAGGTTTTAGTACATACATTGAAGGTTTTAGTACATACATTAGAGGTTTTAATACATACATTGGAGGCTTTAGTACATACATTGGGATACATACAAAATAATTTTCTGCATTTTTTTTTTTCATCTATTATTTTAGTCATTATTTAAAATCTTTTTATAGAAGATTGTCAAGCAAATGCACTAGTATAATGAAACTAATTAGCATATAAGATAATAAATCAGCATAAATTAATATAAATCTAAGCTGAACTTTCAGCAAAGATTTAATAACTTCAAATCTAGATCAAAAAATTCATAAATTTATAAATGTTAATAAATAAAAAAGTAAAATAAAATTTGTAAGATTTAACTGACCCTGAGTCATTTACTTAAAAAAAGCAAAATAACTTATGGTCAGTTTTATAAATGTCTGGTATTTATTCTAAGCTCTGGTTAAATGTATCATGTAATTTTTTTTTTTTAAATAAAAAACCATTTGATGTATAATGCAGTATTTTCCTTTGTTTTAGAAAACACATCCAAAACAACTATTTTTAATGTTCCCCTCAAGTCAGTAGAAAACTCAACGTATATATTTGCTAATAATGAAGAACATTCAAATGAAAACTTAACAAATGTTAATAATCAAGAATTTCTACTAGATAGTATTGATTTAAACTCCTTTAAAAAAACAGACAATCCACTTGAAATTGATAAATTTATATTGCATCTTAAGAAGAGATTTGAAAAATTAAAAAGGCGCATCAAAAGACATGAAATTAAAATTATGAACAGATTTTCAAGAAGTCATGTGAATTATGGTATGTATAATGATATTCTTCATATTATTTCAAGAATCTTTTAAATTTTTATCTGTAGAACAAAAAAGTTAAACTGATATCACAAGTAATATTAATTATTTAATTTATTAGTAATTAATATTTATTAGTTTTATAAACTATTGCTCAAGCCTTTTTAAACAACAACTAGATTTTAATTAACTTTTATAATTTATAATTTTTGTAGTTTGTATTATGCATTGAATACATGTACAGAATATTTAGTTAAAAATCAACTGGTTTAAGGAAGTTTAAAAATGGTTATGGATAAAAAACTTGGGGTTTATAAACTTTTGCATGCTGCTCTGTGTGTATGTGTGTTTAAATTTTGAATATTCACTGATTGTATGCATACAATCAGTGAATCAATTCAAAACTTAAAGAAAATCTGAAATGATGGTAAAAAGAATGATTCATAATAAAGACTATCTATTTAATATGATTATTATGATAATTATTATAATTATGATAGTTTGAATAATTACAGCAAGTTTTTATGGTTTTAGTTTCTCAGTTACGCAAATATTATATACTTGGTATTGTATTTGTGTTTCACAAGTTTTAAAGTAATATGTGTTTCACAAATTTTATGTATGACATCATAATCAAATCAAATGTTATGTCTTGATATCATGAATAACATTTGTGTATCACATATGTTATAATATAACATGTAACATATCATAAATTACATATAATATGTAATCTATGTCATTATTATGTAAAATATATTGTATATATATCTTATTTATTAGAGTCTTCTATTCCAAGTTATGCTAAAAATATATCTGAAGATGACAGTACAGATGATATTGAGTTAAAAATTAAGAGAAACAAAGAAAAGCTTTTTTATTGGAAAAACGAGAGGAATAAACTTTCCAATATTGCTGTTTATAAAACTGTTGCTTCAAAAGTTGCTGACCACGTAAAAGAAAGTTCAGCTGCTTACTTAAATAATTGTTTATGTTCATCGAAACGTAAAATAAAAAAGAAAAAGGTTCATGAAGATATGAATTGCTTTCATATGAGCAAAAATCATTGGAAAGTTCCACCCCTCTGGACAGGTATTAAAACAAAACAAAAAAACTTTAAAGTTAATTAAAAAAAATTTTGTGAGTTAATATTTTTAACTTATTACATGTAAATACTTGATGTTTAAATTTAGGTCCGAGTTTTACAGCATGCACTAACTCTCCCAACAGCACTTATTGGTGTTTGAGAACTATTAATGCTACTCATAATTTCTTATATTGCGAGTTCATTACAGGTTTTAAAGAGTATTTTAATGTCAGTGAAGATCCATATCAAGTATGTTTGCACATAAAGTTGTGTCCTTATTGAAACTGTTTGTATTTTATTAATTTGTTTGAAATAATTGTATTTCATATTTAAATATTTAATCTTTAATTATTTTATGTTTAGTTACGTAATATTGTCTCTAATGTTGAACCTCAAAAACTTTATGACTTGCATCGTCAGTTAAACTATATCAGAAAGTGTAACAGCTCACATGGATGTCTGCTGCGTGCTGGAAGAAATATGGATGATAATGAGGTTATTGATTTTTTTAAAGTTTTTCATATAGTTATATGTTCATACGTTATATAAATATTTAGTATTAATCTAACTTATAACTTATAAATGCAATATTCTTTCCAGGGCTTATTAAGAAAATGGAGGCGATTTGAGCGCAAAAAAAGACAATTCTCGATTTCCTTGGGAAACTAGTTCAAATAGTTTTTAAAAGAATTTAATTGTTTATCAGCAGATAATGTATGCAAATCGAGCACTAATACGAAAACTTAGTTTTCGCAATTTTTAGCTTTAACTAAAATTGTTACTTAAAAAGCAAAATGGTGTTTTGCTGTGTTATTTAAACAATGATACGATCGCTTGTGAAGCAAATCCTAAAGGAAATTTTATTTATATAATTCTTTTAAAAGCAAATATTTATGTAGTGTTCCTATGATTTTCTAAAAATCAGAATTTGCTCTAAGCATGTGTAAATGTGTTGTACACTCATTGCTTACTTTGTAATAGGCATGTTTTTATTGGTCGGATTACTTTGTAAAAGGCATGTTTTTATTGGTCGGATTACTTTGTAATAGGCATGTTTTTATTGGTCGGATTTTAAAATAATTTTAAAGTTACTATAAGGTTGTTTCGAACTTTAATTTAAAATTTAATGTATTAAAAATTTTGATTTTTAAAGTTTCAAGCTAAATTTAATTTGAAATAAGTTTTTAATATTTTATTTGTAAAAAATAATTAAAATATATTTTAATAAAAGGCTATAAACTTATTGTTAAACTTAAAATAAACAACTCGACAATATATAGTTTTTAAAATACATAATTTCTAAATATATATTCCTTGGCCAAATAATTTAAATTTATTCGCATTTAGTTCGACCAATAAAAATAAGCTTCAATGTTAAAAATAACTTTTAAAAAATTTTATTTCAAGTATATATGTTTGGTTTATTTCAATGTTAAATTTTAATCATATATTAGAAATTTATTTATAGCTATAGTAGATTAATTAAAGAAATACAAAGAGAATTTAAAAATTTAATTATTATCTCTTGGTGTGTAACTGAATTATAAAGACAACTTGTAGAACTTATCGTACGTGCAAAAAAAAAATTAAATTTATATTCGTATAACTTTTTGTTATACGAATGTAAATTTAATTTTTTAACAAAACTTTAATTCAATTTAAAACCTTTTTAATTTTTTAACAAAACTTTAATTTAATTCAAAACGTTAACAAAACTACGAATGTAGTTTTGTTAACGTATGTGAATTGTTTTGGTTAGTTTCAAAAGTATTACAAAGGAAATAAGTTTAAGGTCTAAGATAGTCCATGTTCTTATATTATTCCAAAAATGAATGACTTTGAATCGCTATATTTTTTATAAAAGTTATCTTTAAAAAATGCGCCTTAAACAACTAAAGAAAAGATTGGGAGGGGTAGATATAAATTACACTATTACTTCTTTCTAGGCAAGAATCGTTACCTCGTTAACTTCTTTTAGAACTGCCTCTACTGTTAAGAATACTTTCGCTAGCCTTAACTATTGCTACTACTGCATTTTTATTAGGTACTACATCAACTTCTAATGTTTTTGACAGTATTTTTACCTGCTGATCCTGTCACTAATTCAACTACACCTTTTTGCGTTTAAGTTGGCCAATTTTCATTTTAATTTGGTATTTTTTCATTTTAATTTGGCAATTTTCGCTTTAATGTGTAAAGTGAATATTGTCAAATTAAAATGTAAAGATGCCAAATAAAGTGAAAATTGGGCAACATGAACGCAAAAAGATGTAGTTCTTCTTCTGTTGGATCTGCATTTACTGTTACTTCGGTTTGAAGTAATATTCGATGCAAACTTTGTTTACCATTTCTTTTACTTTTTTTAACTTTCCGCATCATATACGAATTTGAATATATTATATTTGAAGGCCATACTTTACTTCAAACCATAAAAAAACATTTTTAAATAATAAATTACCGCAAAAACCTTACGTGAAATTACGTTAAAAATTGGAATTGGTACTATCGATTCGTTGTGTAACTTAACTTCCATTTAATCCATTTCAAACATTTATGATATCCGTTTAAAACAACCATGATATTCATTTAAAATAACCATGATGTTCAATTAAAATATGCGTAATGATCAATTTGAAACAACCATATTTAACATTTAGCGCATGCGTATATTGGTTTTTTATTAAAACATGAAATTATCGAACTACTCACACTGCACATTGAAATTGGAGTAGAACATTCCATTGAAATTGGTGGCATAAAAAAATATAGCTGTTGTTTTTATGTGGATATTAAACCTTAATTGAATAAAATTGAAGTTTAAGATACTTTCAGATATTGTCTAAATAATGGACAGTTTATAAAATTCTTCCAACTTATTATGTTCAAGTCAAAATTCAATATTTTGCAAAAAAATTGCGGTGATTTAAGCCCGGGGTCAAAATACCCCAAAAAGTTGGCCCTACCCCAAATATGAGGGCAATGAGTTCAAAAAAACTTTTACTGTAGCTAAATTTAAAATTAAATAAAAGTTTTAACTTTTATTAAATAATCTTTTATTCTTTGAAAGTTATGATCATGTAATGTTTTTATAACGCCTCAATTTGAGGCGGGTGAAAGCTTTATACAGTAATGTCTTTCGAACATTAACAGATTATTAGTTGAGAAAAAAATCTGACGTTTTAATTCTCAACTAAGAATAATTAATAATAGAAAAATTAATATTAAAAAGAAAAATCAACGAATTGATAAACATTTGGGGTAATTTTGTTTCCAAACTCCAATGATTTGAGCCGAATCACTACAATTTTTAAAATATTTTATTTATTATCTTTTTATATATTCAATAAATTTATATAGTAGGCAAACTAATATAAAGTTATACATTATACATATTATACAGTTTTGAACTTTATTCTTCCACATCCAATTCTAGATTTTATTCTTCCACATCCAATTCTAGATTTTATTCTTCAACATCCAATTCTAGATTTTATTCTTCCACATCCAATTCTAGATTTTATTCTTCCACATCCAATTCTAGATTTTATTCTTCCACATCCAGTTCTAGATTTTATTCTTCCACATCCAATTCTAGATTTTATTCTTCCACATCCAATTCTAGATTTTATTCTTCCACATCCAATTCTAGATTTTATTCTTCCACATCCAATTCTAGATTTTATTCTTCCACATCCAATTCTAGATTTTTGTTGACATTGCCAACATTAAACTAGGGGATCAGAAGGTGTTTGAATGAAAATGTCAAATAAGTTTGTTTCTCTACTTTTTTTTCTTTGCATAGTTTTTAACAATCAAATTTATAAGTTCTGTGTCAAGATTCAGCTGCTTCTTCTCCCATAAAACCTATTGAAACTGGTAAAATAATGATAATTTCGCCAACATGTGCTAATACTTAGTGAATGAAACTTAGGACCTTGAACCAATCATATGTCTCTTACACTTTCTTATATGTATCATTGCAATAATTATCAATTTTTTTAAGGATCAATTGGGCCTTTACATTTGATTACAATTAGAACTTTATGTAATCTGATTAGAACTTTATGTAATTTCTTCATCAATTTCTAAACCTTTACTGATTAAATTTCCGGTATTACTAGTTCCTGATCCACCAGCTCTTGATCCATAAACTCTCAAACCAAATTCTTCAAACACTCTATTATAAATAATTTTTTTTCTCAAGAGATATTGGTCTTTTAAAACATTTTTTAATTTTCAAGTTTTCATTTTTTATTTCAACTCTATATGAAACATGTAAAATAATTTTAAAAAATCTAATCCAAGCATGTAGTAGTGAAATGCCATAGCACAATACCTGCCAATCTGTAACAAATTCTTCCTTAAAAAAATTTTAAATTGCTCATCATGTTAGGTGTGGCATGACAAGTTGGACTACATTGTGGCGAAGAGGTGTCTGTAATGTAAATAAAGTTTTTCCCATTAATTGTTGAAAAGATAAAACTATAGCTGATCAGAATATACTTAAGTCCCTAAGGTAAAATTAAAAAGAGTATATATTAGGAATTTATTTTTTAATCTCCGGCCTTTCTCTCAGTAACTTCAATGGAAGTTTTTAAAGGTGAGCACTTGTTTTTATTTCTAAAATTGCTCGATAAGATGGAAATTTCCATGGTACTTCTTTACAAGTATTTTGATAAACACTTTTTAAAAGTTTGTAATCTAAGAAGTATGCAAGAGCTTCTTCAGTAAGTAATTTGACTAAATTAAATTCACGTTTATTAAATGCTGTTCTTTGAGCAACTAACAATATTTTTTTTGACGGATTCTATTTTTGAATCAAACGAAATATCAATCATTTTTTAGTGCAAGAAATCGATTCATCAAATGCTTTTGTTTAGTCGACCTCTTTTTGCTGACTCATTTATTAAACCCTCTTGGTTAGCTGGTCATTCCACTAATCGTTTGTTTGAATTGAAAGCTGAATGAAACCAAACAAGATTTCTTTTATCAAATATTTCTTTTTTTGATATGATGCATGCCATAGTGCAACGTACTTTGCAGGAGTTAGTTTTAATCTTTTTCTTAATAAATCTACTTCGTCTTCAAAGTAGATTTATTAAGAAGATTTATCTACATTATTAAAATTATTTTTCAAAACCTGAAAACATTGCATAATTTGTTTTAAATAAATTAATAAATTAACGATTAACAAATGTAAACCAAAAAAAGTAAAAAGAAATTTTTACTTGTAAAAAAGTAAAAAGAAATTTTTACTTGTTAAAAAGTAAAAAGAAATTTTTACTTGTTAAAAAGTAAAAAGAAATTTTTACTTGTAAAAAAAAAAAAGAAATTTTTTTAACAACATTTAGAAATTCCTCTAGTTTTTAGTGAATCAGTGGGATGTCAAAAATGCACTTTAGCATTATTTTTTTCTTAAATTAATTATTTATTTTAAAACCATAAACACTTGAAATTAAAATAAAAAATAATATATGACTTTTCAAAAACAACACAAAAACAAATTTACTTTAGTCTGTTATGCCTTTAATTAGTTTTTTTAGTTTTAGTAATAAATGAAAAAAGAAATTGTTTTTATTTGAAGAAATTTTTTTTTTGTTTAAAAAAACATCAATTTTTCAAAGTTATTTAGCGCTCAAGATCGCGGATGATTGCAGCCATACTTCTCAGGGTAGTTAGTAGACACTATAGACTAAAAATTATCAAAATATGGAAAAGATACCGATTGGAAAATTTTTTTAATTCTTCATCAAAGTTGAAACTTAGTACTTTTGTGATAAATTTTGTACTTTTTAACAGCCTTTTTTATAACCTTTTCAATGATGTATATATTATCAATTTTTCAATGATCTATATATTTAAAAAATGATAAATACTAAAACACTACATCTTGAAAACTTTTTTTAAAAATACATTAAAAACCTAACTTCAAGAGGCCACTACCATCGAGCCTGTCACATTTAAAATTTCATAAATTGGAAAATTCTTACTAAGGGTATTAGTAACAAAACCCACTATCTGACATAATGTTTGAAGAAGTCACTTTTTTGATTTTTGGTCATGTGATTTCCAACTGTGCACTGCGAAAGCATTT